ACGCATGCGGTCCCACAGGCGATATCCCGCTGAGGTGGTTCCAACACCCGCTATCCGGCCCGAGTAACCCAGAAATTTTTGCTTCAGCTTGTTCTGCACGATCTCGGCAACGATCGTTACGGGGAACTCGTTATCAGGCGCTCGAGCACCGATATAGAAACAGCAGCCGAGTCTGAAAATCAGACCGAACGACAGTCCCCACCACTTCAACGTGATATAAAATTATTTACTGTACACGAGACATCATTTTTTACAGTTATATTTTTTTGGAGTACCAACGTACCTCAAGTACCTCGGGTAAAAACGTAAACATCCTCTACACATACGTCCCACATAGGCTGAACATCATGAACTTATGTGTGCAAATGCATACGGCCCCGTATACGTCCGACGTATACGAGAACGTATACGCACCCTTTTTTCTCGGGTTTTAGAAAGCTATTCCAAATTTCAAATTTTGCATCCGTAATTTCGACATTCTCAAACACCTTTCAATCCTTAGGCGTGAAAAGCATTTTGGTGCTTCATATGACAAAGCATTCGCTTTGCATTATGAAGCATTCACTTTGTATTAGAAAGCATCTGCTTTGCTGGCTACAAACAAAGCAACAAAAAAATGCATTGCATTTCAAAGCATTGCTTTGCACGGTTTTAACAGTGAATAATGACGACCCACGCACGCGAGCACGCGTCGAGTGTCGCGTTCACGCTGACTTTCGCGTACCCTTTACCCACCGAGCTGGGCGCCGCGTTTAATAACGGGGACTGTAACAAGCAAACATCAACGCGCCCACCCTCCACCCCTGCAGAACCCCACGCGCCCCAGTGTGAGTGGGCGTTCCAACACAAACAGCGCCAAAGCGTGCCGTTCGGTAAGTATCGCGATAGCGGGCAAAGCAGCTTTAATATATGAAAATCGGCAGCGCACGCTACACTGATTTTCACGCGCGCGCGTGTGTGTGTGGAGAGTTAGAGAGAGGATAGTGCGAAAACCAACGCCACGCGCTGAAAGCCATACGGACGAGCAGAAGCCCCACCGCACACACACACACATGTCCACAACTACCGCGAACAGTGTGACATCGTGGCAAGGAGAGGAGAGTGGGAGCGGGAGACGGAGAGGGTAGAAGGAGAGAGAGGGGGGGGGGGGGGGGGCAGAGCATAGAGAAGTCCGAGGGGGACATTCGAGTCTAGCCCCCCCCCTACCCCTCCTGCCTTTCCTCCACCCGCCGCCCGCAGCGGTAGTCAATGGGTCCGACGCGCTGCCCGCTCACGCCGCTGCTCCCCGCGAACTGGTCCACCTGCGGCCGCTCCGCCCCGCTCTGCCCTCTGCTCTGCCGGCCGCTACCATCGCCGCCCGAATGGACTACTTTCGTTTTCATCCGAACGGGGCGGCCTGTAAACTTGGATGGCCTGGCCAGGTCGGACTGCCTCCCCCTCCTTGCAGAGCGACGCGTGTGTGGGGCGGGGCGGGGTGTGGCGGGGTCCGGCGGGGCGGGGTGTGGTGTGGCGGGGTCCAGCGGGGCGGGGTGCGGCGGTGCGGGACCGTGAGCTATGTCTAGACCGGTGGTGGCCGTCGGCTGCGCGGAGGTGCCGCCTTCTGATCGCGTCACCAATCCGAAAAGCAATTAACGAGCGACAAGCGACAATGTTTGATTTGGTCCAAGGTAAATTGAATCCACCCTCGGAAGACAAAGAAAAGCAGACGCGCCCAATTCGCCCCAGGAAGACAATACTTCGAACGATATTTGGCTTCACCACTTTCGAGTAGAGAATCCGTTCCTTTGGCCCTGTTCGTGCGCGTCTTAGAGGCGTCCCTTACACCGCGCAGCGCCGCAGCGCCACGGCACCGCAGCCACGGGGGCGGGCGGTCCAAACACTCTGGCCGTTCCGTTCGGTTTCGTTCCACCCCACTTGTTCCCTTTTTTCCAACCTTTGGACCCCGAGCCCCGGCCCGTCGGACGGCCCTTTTCAATTTGAATCCAACCGTAGCGAAATGCCGGTCACATAGTCGTCGCCGCTCCGCCGGGCCCCGCCAGCCCCGCCCCGTCGCCTCCAGTTTCCCAACGCGCCCGGAGCTGGAGCGGCCGCCGGAGTGGGCCCGGAGCTGTTCGCCGTATCCAGTCCGGGGGGCCCGGCTCGCCCGCCCCGCCCGGGTCAGATCAAGGACGTCGGAATTATTCGCCAAAGTGCGCTCAGGCGGCGTGTGGTATTGTCTCCGCTTCCTTTTTGCTCGCCCTCCCCTCCCCCTCACCCACCCCTCAGCCTGCCCTTTTATCCCTTCTATTTTCCCGACTGTCCCGCCTTAATTCTGCGCGCCCACACGGCCTCGCAAGGGACTCAGATCGCCGCTGCTGCTGCTGTTGTTGTTCCCCTTCTCCTCGTGGGAAACTCTGGTAAGGAGTCAGTGGCCAACGTAGCCAACTAGGTGGGCAAAACGTTCAACACACATCCACAAATACCTGATGAGCGAATTGAGTCTGCTTCCCACAACAATATTGTGACAATAGACCTAGCAGCAGCGCCCTCCCCCCTGTCCCCCAAAGACATGTTCGTTCGTGCACGGAAAAAATGATAGTCCATTTTGTAGCTAAACCAATAGGTAAAAAAGTACGGGATATCTCGGGATATCTACACGGTAAGAACAAGTCTTGCGATTCTGTGAAGTTTTTTCCGTAATTTTCCAGGGGAGTTCAAATAGCCCCAGAGGAAAACCTCTGGAAACAACCACAAATTTTCAAGGAGATTTCCCTGCAGTTGATATTTCTTTCCGTGTTGGAATTTTTCGCACACCTAGTTGATTCGGGCCCGAGACTGGAGCTGCGTGGCCAGCCGGCGGCAGGGCTGAATTAAGGGGCGTAGCACCAAAGAACACAGTTGCCTCCCTAAGGCAAGGGCGCGGAGGCGCGCACGCTAAGGGGCAGCGCGGCACATCGCGTGGGGGCAGGAAGACGCGTGCGCCCTTGGAAAACGCCAAGTTAATTTTATCTAGTTGCTAAAATAGCATTATAGGAAACAAAAATTAGCTAAAACGCTATTTATGTTAAGTATATTTTCCCAAAGGCAGGTGTTCAGCGCAATAACTAGCACGTCCAAGTTGCGTCACACGACATTTGCCTGCTTTTACATGGTAAAAAAACTTTTCACGCCCAAATAATTAAAAAACATAAGACCTGTTGTTTTCACTCACATTTTATCCTTTAAAAATGTTGGATCTCAAAAACAAAGGAATACTCTTTCATTCAATGCATACGTTGAAACAAAAGCTGCTGAACTGATCTATAAAATCAAAGACCGTATTTTCGGTTTCCCCCGGGAAGGGCTATCCTGTAAACAATACTCAATTTGTAAGCTACCGTGCACAACCCAGAACACGGGTGCATAAATTGCGCATACGTGCTCAACAGAGTCAGTCAACACGCGGAGGGAGCGTGGCGCCAGTTTCGGCAGGGCGGGGAGAGGCGGGGCG